CCATCCCTTCTGTTCATGTTTTCAGCAAGAATTCCTGGAGTTTTGTTTGTTAAGCCCTTCTGGGACATATCTGAGATCTACTTACTAGGGACTGCACTATCCCACCCTTTCTACCACCTCCCCCACTCCTCAACCTACAGGGAAACATTTCTACCCCTTCTGCCAAACCCACCTTCTCTCTATCTCCAGCCCTAGCTGATCATTGCTCAAGGGAAACCTTGGAAGCTCTCTAGGCAAGCTTTTCTCTCTTTTATTTTTTTTGTCTTTTTGAGACAGGGTTTTCCTGTAGCCCTAGCTGGCCTAGAATTCCTATGCAGAGCAGGCTGTCCTCAATTTCACAGAGATCCTCCTATCTCTGCCTCTCCAGGGCTAGGATTAAAGATATGCACCCCATGGCCAGCAGGGCTCATATATTTCTTAAATAGCCTAAACTCCCTTCATCCACCAGGCCTTCCAGACCAACAAGGAACAGAGCCTGACCCTTAGTGCATGAGGCTTGTAGCACAGGAGCCGGGATGTGTAGCGTCTGCTGCCCTGGGCCCTGGCTCCAGGCCCTGGCTCCAACGCATTGAGAAATAAAGCTTTATTTTATCTCACTTCCCATTTCAGTGTATCTGTTGCCCTTTGGGAAACTTTCATCCTACCTTTTGCTTCCCTGTTTGTCCCTACCCCACCTTCCCCTGCCCTGACTTTTCCAGGCTTGTATCTTATCATCTGCTGATGAAGAAACAGAACTAGAACAGCCCCGAAATGAAGTCGCTCATTCCCCAGCCGTCTTTACGTGATGGCTTCTTGTGTCCCCATCAACTTCTTGTGCTCAATCTGAGAAGCTGGCCATTGTTTCTGGTCTCTTCCTTCTGATAAAGCAAATATTCAAGCATTTGCTGAATGGATTAGGGAATGAATGGGTCCCATCATGAATCACACTTCTTCATCAGGCAGATTCACAATAATCCAGCCTCTTGCTCTTCATATTCAGACAGCTTTACATAAAAGAACTCTCAGAGTCACTTCACCTTAAAGCAGCAGTCATCTCCGTAGCTGCCAGAGTCCTGGACCATTTCAGCCTACCACCAGAAGACTACTTTTTCAACAAGTGGAGCTCAGCTTTATCTTCTTCCTTCAAAGCTTAGTAAATAATACAACAGTCTGCCTTGAAGTAGTTTTACTATCTTAATTCCTGCAGGTTAGTCTCTGATGTTGGTATATCATGGCTTACTTAGCCATCCCCAGGTTTTGAACTTTTGGATTACAACCAGGTTTTTCCTGCTTGTCCTTTTATTGGGATAAGAAAGCAAGTGGCCTGATTTGCTTACACATGGTTAAAACAGCCATGAAGGAAGAAAGATGATAGGGCAGGAGTGAGAAGGAAAAATTCCGCTGGACACAGTCTTGACTTCAGACTCATCTGAGTGTATTGACTATACAAAATACAGGCTGAAAGCTTATGACCCACCAAGTGCTGCACTAAAAGCCGACTGCTGAGTAGTATCTTCACATGCAGCCTAACTTTTTCTTATGTGCTCTCCCCAAACTACTGTACTGTACTGTACCCTGGTGACACGGAAGAGAGCTCCATGTCTCAGGGAATAACATTTTCACAGAACCTTGAAAGATGAGTGTCAGGCTGATAAGAGACAATCACAGGCAAAGAAGGCCCAGAAGATCGGGCCAAATTGTGCAATAAGGTCATGGAGTTTTTAAAATTGAAGAAAAATGAAGCTTTGTTTTTCAGACAGGGTCTTCCTATGTAGCCGGGGATGGTTTTAACCTTGCAGTGATCCTCCTGCCTCAGCCTCCTGAATGCTGAGATTACAGGCATGTAACCACCAAACCTGACTGGAAATGAGACTTATAAGAACAGAAATCAGTGTAAAAAGGTGTCCAGCCAGGTGTGGTGGCACACGCCTTTAATCGTAGCACTCAGGGGGCAGAGGGAGGTGGATCTCTATTAAATAGAGGCCAGCCTGGTCAATATAGCGAGGCCAGCTGGGGCCAGAGGGAGACCCTGTCTCAAAAAAACAAACAAAACAACAAAAGCGGGGGGGGGGGGCTTTAGGGCTTTGGGGCTCTGGGGCTCCAGAGCCTCATTGCCTCCCCAAGGCAATGTTTTGAGAGTTTGAAATGGGCCAAAAATGAGTGCTTTTTCAGTTCGACATTCTTAATTTCTTTTGCGACATGATCTCAGTATTTAGCCCAGGCTAGCCTGGACCTTACAGTTCTCCTGCCTCAGCTTCCTAGGTGCTGGAATTACAGGCATGTCCCACCGCACCTGACTATAAGAGCAATTGCTGCTGTGTGTACTTGCTTCGATTTTGATTTTGTAAGAGCCATCTTTGACAGCAGTCCCTCTAAAAGTAGTATAGAGAGCTGGAGAGATGGTTCAGTGGTTAAGAGCACTGGCTGCTCTTGCAGAGGACACAGGTTCAGTTTCTAGCACCCACATGCTGGCTAACAACCTTCCGTAACTCCAGTTCCAGTAGATCCAATGCCCTCTACTGGTCTTCACAGGCATTGCACACATGAGTAGACTTACATGAATGAAGGCAAATCGCCCATACATATAACATAAAAATAAATAAATCAAAAGAAAATTTTAAGTAGTATGGAGACCAAAGGTGGACCGACCAGTGAGCAGCAAGCTACAGAAGTCTAAGAGACAATGATGAGGAAGTGAGCTGGGATAACCCACTGTTATCTTTTGCCCCAGACCATCTCAGTTTAGTCCCCAAAGCTCTTTATCCTAAGCAAGTCCTTGGTCACAGGAACAGTAGTATTTGGTCACTCTCTTCTGAACCTGGTATCAAATGCCACTGTGCTTCCTGCTCTAAGAAGTGGTCAGTGAACCATACCTCCAGGGATCCTGAGAGCCCCATCTGTGCTGCCATGTATGCTCTCACATGCCCTTTGTCTAACCACCATTCCTGGGCCTAATTTCACTAGATTGTAGACCCAGTGTCCTCCAGACACAAAGATACTTGTGAGGAACACCTCCACTTAACTGCTTTCCAGGTTTCTCTTCTCTCTCACTCTATAAGCCAGAGGCTCCTCTCAAAGTCAGCTGGTTCAAGTGCAGCAGCAAAACTCTGCACTTTTGTGTATGCTAACCCCACATTCCGAAAGATCGTGTTGTCCACATCACAGCCTATTGGATCCCATTGCAAATGCCTCATCTCTGAATTCCAGGGCCATGGAACAGCTTTGGGTGGTAGACACCATGTGAAGGGTTTCCAAGCTTCATTGCTGAACCTCACAGCAAATAAATATGAATAATCTTTTGCTATTGGCAGGTTTTCTTTGTTCTGTTTTGAGACAGGGTCTCATGTAGCCCAAACTCAGTATGTAGCCAAGGATGACCTGGAACTTCTGCTCCTCCTGCCTTTTCTTCTCAAGTTCTGGGATTACAGACATGAGCCACCACACCCAGGTGAAGAAACTAAGACCCAAGGAGTACACACACAACACTTCATCCAGCACATTTTAACTGAGGCCACATGATGTTATACTCGGTTTCAATGGGGTGTATGCTGTACTCTGGGTCAAGAGTTACACAGTGAGCTTTTTATTTGATAGCCTGTGGTGTCTGGGAGAGGAACAGGGAAATCAAACCAGAGTGGCAGATAGAGCTCTGTTTAGTCCCCCTCAGCAGTGCCAAGGAATCAGTGTTCCCTCACACTTAGAGGACACCTGATACCATTTTGTATTTGATTTTGGTAGCCATCCTTTTAGTTACAGGCAACAGAATTTTTTGAGTGCCTTCTATATTTAAGACCTTATGTGAAGAATATTGCCCTTTTCCATATGCAAATGTATAGACTTTTTTTTATTTTTTTTTTGGCTTACTATCCATCTCTTCCATTAGAACCTAAGCTTATTGAAGTCAGGAATTCTTCTCCTCTGTTGAATCTTCAACATCAGATAACAGCAGTGACTCCCCAGCAATATTGTTCAGTGGAGAGTGACAGAAAAAAATAAATATGGAGATATGGGACCTGGGGATGGTCTTTAATTTTGCAAAAGCTGGTGGACACAATCAAGACTTTTCACCTGAAACATAATAGATGTCCAATAGTCATAAATTGAATGAAAGTAACAATATAGCAGGAAACACTTATATAGTGCCGACCAAGTCCTGTGCTAAATATTTCACACTCATTCATTCATTTAGCCCTCAGGATAACCCTATGCAGCAGGCATTTTCATTATCCCCATTTTACAGATAGGAAAATCAAAGCATCATGGTTCACCAGCTTGCTAGTGTCAGGGCTCAGATGTGAACTCCAGTTGTTTGGCTCTGAAGTCTATGACCCTAACCAATATGCTGCCTTCCCATGGTAAATGTTCAACTTGAGTATCAGAAAAATAGAGCAAATTCAAAAGGTAATGGTCATGGGAGGAGTGTGGTGGGGCTGAGACTGGAAGGCTCTCCATGCTGTGTTTCTCTTGCTTTGCCCTATGGTGTCTGGCTGCTGATCCAGAACTCCTGGGAACAGAGGCACAAAGAGGAATCAGAGAAGTCCAGATATGCACACTGAAAACCTCTCAGCAGAAAGAGCCAGAGTAACCACTGGGGCAGAAGCAAGTGTAGCCCCAGATCCCCTTTTGAAAGCAGAGACAAGCAGCAGGCTGCTTTGCAGAGCTCGTAGCTAAGGAGGACTAAGCTATTCTTTTCTCCTCCACTAATTCATCAGAGACCACCCGACAGCTAATGCCAGCCGGGGCCACTGCTGCCTCACTGAAATTAGCAGTGCATGTGCAGAAAGAATACACATTAGGGAGATGAAATGATCTTATATGCCACCTGATGTGTGTGTAGGAAGTTGGGGCGGAGCAGGGAGTAGGGAAAACTGGAGGAAAGGTTTGGTCAAACCTGACAAAACTTCAGCAACTAACCAACCCGGATGATAAGAGATTAGAGCAAAGCATCTGAAATCAACTCTGTTTCAGTGACTTGGAGCTTCTGGTTGTTCTTCTTGCCACAGCATAGCACCACTGTGACCATGTCCTTCTCGCAACTAGATCTACATGAAGGCCTCCGAACCCTCTCGGTTTTACAGTGGATTCCAGTCTATATATTTTTAGGTGAGTAAATCCCAAGGGCTGGAGAGTACATAGGTACAGATCCAGGAAAGGGCCAGGTATCTTCACATGAGGGCTCCATTGTTATCATCTGCTTGGGTCCCTCTATCCCTCCTTGGGAAGGACTTTGTCGGTAGCAGGCGTGACAGAGATTTGCATCTCAAAATATCGTTTATGGCAATGACTACTTCCCAGTAGTTATTGGAACTGCTGTTCAGTCTGGTTTCTTGATGCATAGATCAAGAAACGCATATGCTACTATCTCATATGGTGAGTGATATTGTGGTAGCTGTGTTTTAATATAATGCCTTTCTTTTGTATATCTGTATATTTCACTGATGCACTTAAGGGGCTCATACACTTCATCAGACCCTCAGAAGATGCAGACATTTAAACTTTATTAAAATCAAATCATGCTGAGCCCATCATCTGATAACTTTGGCTGTATCAAGAAAAGGTAGTTAAAGCTGGTGAGGTTTACTCAGCAAGTAAAAGTGCTGGCTAAGGAAGCCTGACAACCTGAGTTCTAATCCCCAGAACCCAAGGTGGAAGGCAAGAAGTGATTCCTGCATGTTATCCTCTGATCTCTGCACACCAGTGGAATGTACATCCCATTCCCATACACACAATAATAATAGATACATTTTTAAAAATTAAAAAGAAAGGGTAGCTAAAACCAAGCTTGGTGTTTCACACCTATAATTCCATCTCTCAGGAGGCCTAAGTAGGAGAATTGCTATGAGTTTGAGCCCAGCCTGGGCGACACAGTGACTAGTGAGTTCCAGGCCAGTCTAAGCCATAGAGTGAGACCCTATTTCACAAAGAAAGAAAGAAAGAAAGAAAGAAAGAAAGAAAGAAAGAAAGAAAGAAAGAAAGAAAGAAAGAAAGAAAGAAAGAAAGAAAGAAAGAAAGAAAGAAAGAAAGAAAGAAAGAAAGAAAGAAAGAAAGAAAGAAAGAAAGAAAGAAAGAAAGAAAGAAAGAAAGAAAGAAAGAAAGAAAGAAAGAAAGAAAGAAAGAAAGAAAGAAAGAAAGAAAGAAAGAAAGAAAGAAAGAAAGAAAGAAAGAAAGAAAGAAAGAAAGAAAGAAAGAAAGAAAGAAAGAAAGAAAAAGGGAGGGAGAAGAAGAAAGTTATTTTTGATAGAATTTTTATTTCTATTTCTGTTTTCCTTTGCATTTTTCTCAAAAGAAGATTGCCTTGGATAAATTTCTCCCCTCCATAGAAGAGAGAGAGAGAGAGAGAGAGAGAGAGAGAGAGAGAGAGAGAAATGTCAGAGGAGATATTGTGTTGGCAGCCATCAATTCAAGTCTGGATCCCAGAAAGAGTGAGCAAAGAGGAGGCTAAAAGAGCAGGGGAAAGAGGAAAAGAGAGGAAGCGCTGTGGGTACCAGCTTTGTCTCAGTGGTAAGACACAAAGCCCTGGGTTCTACTGCAGCACTGCCAAAAAACAGGAGTGGAGAGATGCATGAGTGATCCTTTCAGGCGCGAGGTCTCCTTGATGACACTTGAACACATGCTCATATCATTCTGGCTACTCTGGGCAGGCAACTTTTCCAGTAAAATGCTTCTATTTTTCTCCTTGAAAACAATTCTTTCTCATGTTTTCTTTTTCTTTATTTGTTTTTCTCTTTCAAAATGCACCGTCTTCCACCAGAGATAGGGCAGAGGGTGTATCAGGTACCACCACATGTCCTAAGGGACCAAAAAGATAAGGAACAGTTGCCACCTCCTCCCCACTCAAGCCTTGCTGACTTCCAGTCATCCCGGAAGAGCTGGAAGACTGGAGTGGGAGGGAGTATTAGAGACACATGATGGCACCATTGTGTCACCAATGAAAACGCATAATAAATGTGAATGTTTTCTTTTGCTATGTTTTTAACATTTTTTTATTGTGATGAATATAGAGAGCATACAATTTCTTGGGTATTTTTTTTCCTTTTCTTTTTGGCCTTTTTGAGACAGGGTCTCCCTGTAGCACCAGCTGGCCTGAACTCCTTATGTAGACCAGACTGGCCTTGAACTCACAGAGATTCTCTTGCCTCTGCCTCCCAAGTGCTGGGATTAAAGTCAAACGCCACCACACCTGGCCCCAATTTCTTGTTTTAAGCGTACATTTCAGTGGCATTAAGTAACTTACAGTGCTATGCAATCTTGCCCAGAAATTTTTATCTTCCCAAAGTGAAACTCTTTACATATCAAACAGTAACTTCCTAAGTCCCTCTCCATCAAGCTCTGGCATCCACCATTCTAGTTTCTGTCTGTATGAACTTTCCTATTCTAGGCAATCATATGATATTCATTTTTGTCACTGGCCTATTTCACATAACATAATGTCATCAAATTTCATCCATGTGGTAGTATGTGTCAGAATATCCTTCCTTTTAAAGCAAAATAGTATAGCTTTTATGGATACACAAAATGTTGTATATCCATTTGTTCATTAATGAGCATTTACACCCTCTTGATTGTCAAGAATAAAGCTGCTTAAAACGTGAGTGTATAAAGACCTCTTTGCCACCTTGATTTCTATTTTTTGGAATATATACTAAGAAGAAGAATTAGCCAGGTGTGGTGGCACACTCCTTTAATCCCAGTAGAGGCAGGCAGATCTGTGTGAGTTTAAAGCCAGCCTGGTCTACATAATGAGTTCCAGGCCAGCTGGGGCTACAGGGAGACCCTGTCTCAAAAAGACCAAAAGAAGAATTATTATTGATGGATTGTTTATTAATTCTATTTTGTAATGTTTTGAAGAACTGCCAACCTGTTTTCCACAGTGACTGCCCCATTTTACATTCCCTACAACAGTCCAGATCGCTCTTGTTGGGCGGGGGGGTTGATAGCCATCTTAATGGGTATGAAATGAAACATCACTGTAGTTTTAATTTGCATTTTCCTAATGATTAATGATGTTGAACATATCCCCATGTACTTCTTGGCCATTTGTCTTGACTTGTTTTAGACTGATTATGATTCTGCTTGTATAACATTCTGTTTCTGTTCCTTTAGTAATTATGCTAGGAATTACAAGAATCTTAAGTCTTAGAATTATCAAAGCAAATACACAGCAGGGTATGATATCTCCAGAGGGGCCAAATACCTTAAAATCTGTTCACTAAAGTTATGGATCAAACTCATATTTTAAGACCTTGAGCTACCTTTGCTGAGACTATAAAAATGAGTTAAGTACAGGCTCTTCACTACCAACGAACAACAAAAAAAAACATTGTTCCATTCATGTGCGAGTGCTGGACACACACACAAATCACTATAAGGTAACATAGACTGCAGTAAGTGCAAGAACCCCTAAAAAGGAATGTGAGGGTGTCTGATAAAGAAAATATTACAAGGCAGGGCATGGTGATGTGTGCTTTTAATCCCAGCACTCGGAAGGCAGAGGCAGGAGGGTCTCTGAATTCAAGGCCAGCCTGGTCTATATAGCAAGTTCCAGGCCAGCTGAGGCTACAAAGGAGACCTGTCTCAAAAAGACCAAAAAAGAAAGAAAGAGAGAGAGAGAGAAGGAAGGAAGGAAGGAAGGAAGGACCCCTTCTTCACTCTTGGCTTTCTGTCCAGCTTGAGGCAGGCAGTCTCTTCCTCCACACACTCCTGCTGCTGTGACATCCTGCCTCACATCAGGCCCATCATCAATGGAGCCAAGAACTATAACCTGAAATCTCTAAAAATGTGAGATAAAATAATCCCTCCTCCTTTAACATGTTATTGGCAAATATTGAGGCATAATAATGCTAAAACTGGCTATCACAGGGTCCAAGACACCATGTAAAAACTTGGCCTTAGCTAAGGTTTCTCATTCTTAGCACTGTTGGAATTGGGGATTAGATAAGTCTTTGTGGTAGAGGCTGTTATGTCATTGTAGGATATTTAGTAGAACCTTGACCTCTCTCTACTAGATATTCTAGTGTAAGACAATCAAAATGTCTAGGTATGGTGGTGCATGCCTTTAATCCTAGTACTCGGGAGGCTGAGACTAGCAAATCTCTGGGAGTTTGAGACCAGTCTAGTCTACATAGTGAGTTTCAGAGCTAAACAGTGAAAATCTGTCTCAAAAAAGAAAGAAGGAAGAAAGGAAGGAAAATGAAGGAAGGAAGGAAGGAAAAAAGAAAGAAAGAAAGAAAGAAAGAAAGGAAGGAAGGAAGGAAGGAAGGAAGGAAGGAAGGAAGGAAGGAAGGAAAATAATACAGTAGGTTGAGCAACTGGAGGAGACCAGAAAGGGAAGGAGACTGGCACAGTCAACAGGCTGTAAGCTCTGGAGAATATCAGACAAGGATTATAATTCACTGTGTAGTTGACTTTGGGCAAGTTCTGGAATCTTTCTAAGGACATCCTCCCAGTGGGGTCCACAGGAAATTCTCTGCATGGAAAAGCCTCCCTCCCTCTCCTCTTTATCACTTTCATTCCTTTATTCCTTCTGTCATCTTCCGAGCCTCCTCATTGCTTCTCTCTGAACGATTCTCAGAATCATGGTCAATATTGACTGTTACTGGACAAGACAAGGAGGAAAGAGGGAAAAGTGGGAGCAAAATGGCAAAGGAACAAGTAGGATAGAAGAAGTGAGAAGAAAGGATGAGAAGATGAGTTAGGGAAGATAGGGGGAAATATTCATGGTCTCCAGAGCTAGGCAGTAGCTCTGACAGCCCCTCTGAGGGCCAGCTTTCCTGCAGAGATTGCTCTCCACATGTCTCCTCGGGGAGACTCCCTGAAGTATGTCAAATAGTCCTGGTCATCTAGTTTGCAGTTTCCACCCTCTCCAATCTATTCTGCCTGCTCCCACAAGTCTTTCTTCTGTGGTTTTTTTTTCAGTACTGGGGATTAAAACCAAGTCCTCATACACGTGTTGAACTACATCCCAGTCTTAAGAGTGTTTTAGAAACTTTGATTACATCACTTTCTTGCTCAAAAAAGTGATTTTCCATGGCTTGCTTGATGATGCACAAATATATTAACCTGGGTATTCTAAGTCGTCTCCACTCTCTGACTCTGATCCCTTA